TTTGAGGGACAGTTTTGCCAGGTATATAATTCTTGGTTGAAATTTTTTCTCTTTCAGCGTTTTATATATACCATCCCATTGCCTTCTCACATGCATGGTTTCTGCTGAGAAATCAGAGCGTATTCTTACTGGCTGTCCTTTGTAAGTAACTTTTTGTTTTTCCCATACTGCTTTCAGGATTCTGTCTTTGTCTTTGGTTTTGGTGAGTTTGATGATGATATGTCTTTGTGATTTTCTTTTGGGGTCTGTCCTGTTCGGGGTTCATTGGATTTCCTGAATGGATATATTCTCATCTTTCATCATATCAGGGAAGTTCTCCTTCAACAGATCTTCAACAATTTTCTCAGTGCTATTATTTTCCTCTTCCTGTTCTGGAATTCCAGTGACATGTAGGTTATTCTTTTTGATGATATCCCACATGAACCTTAGGCTTTGTTTTTTTTTTTTTTTTTTGATTTTTTTTCTGCTTGATACCTTTCCAAAGAAGTATTCAGGTATTTGTCTTCAATCTCATTAATTCTGTCTTCCATTGCATCAGTTCTGCTCCTTTGCCCTTCTAATGTGTTGTCTATTTCTGACAATTTAGTATTAATCTTCTGGATTTCTATCTGTAGATTTTGAATCATTTCTAATTTTTCTTTTATTTTGTCATTTTGTTCTTGTATTTTCTTCTAAAATTCTTCTAGGGTTTTGTCTGTGGTTTCCTTGGTCTGTCTCTCAATCCTTTGAAGATACCTAAATATCATTCTTTTGAATTTGTTATCAATGTGTTCCAATGCTGCTTCTTCCTCAGGGATGTGTTCTGTGTCTGTATCCTGCTCCCTTGTTTCTTCCACTTTATCTTGCTTCTTTGTGTGGACTGTGATGGTCTGTTGCCTCCGAGACATTGTGATGTTGTTGTATTAAGATCTCTGTTAACTGTTTGTGAAGAGCAGCCAAGGGTGATTCAAGCTCTTCTTGGTGGTTTTTTATTGTTTGCCCGTTGGTGGAGAAGGCAGTGGTGGCTCTCGCTAGGTAAGTGAAGTTGCAGGAAGTGTGGGTGTAGTTGTGTCTTATGGGGATTATTGCTGTCTCCCACTCAATTAGATAAAAATTACAACTGAAAAACCATCAAAAAACTAAAAGCACATGGACAAAAAATACACAATGTAATCACACAGGAACAGTAACCGAAAAAATAAAAAAGGGAAAGAGGCAAGGAAAAAAACAAGAAAACCTGCAATATCTGTGTATAGGGCAATAAGAGAAAAAGGTAGAGAAGGAGAATAATGAAGAAAAAATGGGAAAAATGCAAAAAGAAAAACAAGGAACAGGGTTAAGCATGAGAAAAAAAAGAAAAAAAATTTGCAACTATGAACAGGGAAAAGAAGAAGCTGAAAACTAGGACCTGGGTGGGAAAAAATAAAGAATAATAGTAAAAAGGACAAATGTATTAATAGTAGTAGTAGTTGTAAAACAGACAAAAACAAGCAAACTAAAAACCTGAAAAAAGAAACAGAAATAAAAAGAAAAAGAAAAAAATCAGAGGAGAGTAGGGTAGGGCACCCAGGCTCAGCCTGATCACACAGACTGGGATGGAGTTCCTACAGCCCCAGAAGGTGGGTGGGAGTGGGGAATGGCTGCACCTCTATTCACCAAGGCACGTGGGGTATAAGAGTAACAATGGGAATGTTGCCCCTTTTCAGTCATCCACATCTGGATTGTCTTTAGGATTACTGGCAAGTATATCCCGTTCTTAGGCCCCTGGAATCTGGGAGAGCGCTGTCTCTTTAAATATCCAGAATGGTCAAGCCACTTGTAAACATTCAAAATGGTGGCATCCTCTGGACAGGCAAAGTCCACAGCTCAGTTCGCCTTTCTCTTAGCTAGTGCTTCTCGTTTTCATCCCCAGCCACTAGAGCAGTTCTCCGTGTAGTCCCTCGTTAGCAGGGCTGATTTTTGGGTTAATTCTTAGGTTCTACCACCACTCAGCACTTCCAAGCTGTCTGTGCCCTGCCGTCAGGCTTGCTCAGGATCACTGCCAGACCACAGCTCCGTATTCCTCTTTTTTTTAATATTTTCATGCAAATTCTTCTGCTAGTTCAGATTTTGTCCACTGCTATATCCTTCCCTTAAAGTTTCAGGGGTCCAGGCTTAGCTTCTGTGTCTGTGTTAATTGGTTCCCCTTTTCTTTGTTGAAGAGGGTCTGTGCAGTCTTTCTCCCTATTCTGCCATCTTACCGGAAGGCCACCCTCTTGATGTTGTATGGTTGATTGTTCTAATGAGTGACTACCCTCCTGGTGACACTCTTTAGCAATATCATAATGTACTATAACCTATTTAATCAGTTCTCCATAGTTGCACACTTAAGATTTTGTCCTTGTTTTCCATAACTGTTCTGAATACCTTAGTACATATATTTTTCTGTGTTTACCTAATTATTTTCTTATCATACTAATATACGTATATAATTGCTTTGTAAAAGATTATCTACTTTAAAAAAAAAATCTTTGCTAGTCTGAGAGATAGAATACGTGTCTCAGTTTAACTTTGTGTTTGGATATTGGTTATGCTTATCGACCATTCTTTCTTATTTTTATGAATTGCCTAATCATATCCATTGCCTACTTTTCCATTGGGTGTCCATCTTTTTAGTTTCATTTGTAAGATTGTTTTATTAGAATGTAACTCTTTGTCATAGTTTGAAATATTTTCCTCCACTTTGTTTGTTGTTGTTATGTTCCGTCGAGTCGACCCAACTCATAGCGACCCCTCCTTGGGTTTCTGAGGCAGTATCACTACGGAAGTAGATTGCCCCATCTTCCTTCCGAGGAGTGGCTGGTGGATTTGTTTCGTAGGTTCATTTCCCCTGTCCACTACCTATGAAAAGCTTTAACACTTTCGTTGAGCTGAATGCTGCCCAGATTGCTTAGTTATCATTTTTAATGGCTGTGTAATATTTCATTGAGTTGGGTTTACCATAATTTACTGAATTCACCTCAGATTCTAGAGGAAGACTTCAGTGATCATCTGGTACTTTGTTTTTTAGTTTTTCTGTCTACTTTCTTTCTTTAATCAGATGCTAACCCTGAAGTGACAATGACAATGCTTCGCTGGATCTATACGGATGAGTTGGAATTCAGAGAAGATGATGTGTTCCTGACTGAATTGATGAAACTAGCTAATCGGTTTCAGCTACAGCTCCTTAGGGAGAGGCAAGTCACAGCAGATATATTCAAGCACCTCAGATGGTGGTGGCTGAGCTTTAATTATGCCGAGCTCTGGGAAAACAGCTGCTTCTGCTAATGTAAATAACTTTTGCAAGGTGTTCTTTTAAAATCCATGGTGGGAAGTTTGTCACCTCCCTTGCGTTGTGTTAAGGAGCCATAGTGGCACACTGGTTAAGCACTCGGCTACAAACTGAAACATTGGCAGCTTGAACTCGCTAGCCACTCCATGGGAGAAAAATGTGGCAATGTTGTTGTTGTTGTTATGTGCCGTCGAGTCGGCCCCGACTCATAGCGACCCCTCCTTGGGTATCCGAGGCAGTATCACTACGGAAGTAGGATTGCCCAACCTTCCTTCCGAGGAGTGGCTGGTGGGTTTGAACTGCCAGCCTTCTGGTTAGCAGTCAAGTGCTTTAGCCACTATGCTACCAGAGCTCATGCTTCTGTAAAGATGACAGCCTTGGAAACTCTATGGAGCAGTTCTACTCTGTCCTGTAAAGTGGCTGAGAGTTGGAGTCGACTCAGTGGCAGTGGGTTTGTTTTGATTTTGCTGTGTGTTACCTTGTGAGCTAAATTTCACCAAAGTTTTTAGCTATTATTTTCTTTTCACACTGGTCTATTACCTGAAATTACATAATTATATGTTTAATAGAAATAATATAACTACTGTCCAAATGCTTAACTTTTCCTCCTGTACTACTTCCTTTGACATTTTGTTCTATTTTCTGATTTATCTACCTGGATGAAGTCATTGGTCAGATTCTCTTTGTTGGAAACACATTAGTGCCTCAATTTAATCCATGAGAATATGGTTCCATAAGTGTTACAGCCATTGTTTCTGAGATCTCACTTCATTTAAGTTACTGTTTTGTAGGTTCCCAAGGAGATACAGCATACTATGTTTTTTATTTTGCAGTTTTTCTATGTGCTTTTCCCAAGTTGGCATTTTGGAACAACAGAAACAAAATGTTCACCTGATGGGTGCTAGGCAGAGTGCCCTTGAGTGTCTGTTGGAGATGTGGCCTTTGGTAGCTTGTTTGATGGAGTGAATTTTTACATCAGTTAGTCAGCTTTTGTTTTCTCCTGGGTGTGTGAAGTGATGGCTTTTCTCTTGGGTTTGTGAAAGGATGGCTTCTGCCATCAAGAGACACCCGACCTGTTCCTGTGTTGCCCTCAGAAAGCCAACAGAGACCTTCTTTCTGGAGCGGCACTTGTTCTGTTTGCACCATTGGGCCATGTTTCTCCTGGGAATGGGCCACTGTGCCCCTGACTACCTGTAATGTGAGCTCAAGGACACTAAATCCCATACTAACAACAAAAAGGTCTAAGATATGTATGCACATAAATTTTGTATTTGGTTAACAAAGCAAGTTTGCTGTGGAGGCTTTGCAATTAATGTTTCTTTCTTTCCTTTGTTTGTTTGTTTTGTTGAGTTTTGGAACCACCTGAGAGTGAAATAGGAATGATTTTAATTAAATTGAGTGTGATTTATATCTTTATGTTTTTCAGATTTGCTGTGCTTTCTCCCTTGACCTTATCAAGCCTGGTTATAAATTAAATTACTTTGATAAAAATGTCCTGAGGTTGAAGTTGTTTAGATAATTGTAATCTATGTAATGGATTCTTTAATTAAAATGTTTGTTATTTATCCACTGATTAGGCTTCCTATCTTTGAACATTACCAGATGCTCCATTTTTATACTGGTAGATGTGGATATTAAGACTTTTTTGTCCTCGGTTTTGTTAGAAGCCTGGATGGAGGAGATGCCAGGATGGAGTCTAGTGTTGGCTTTTAAAAGGTCTCAGATTGCCATCTGGTGTCTGCAGGAGACGTTACACAGTTGAGATAGGAAGTGAACAGGCTTTGACACAAACACATGCAGTTAAATATGAAGCAGATGTTGCTCAGTTTTGTAACTTACGGGTGTTAGTGGTTTTGGAATGCCACCAGTTTTATGGAAAGGAATTATTTTTTGGTAACTATTATCAGGAAAAGACTTATTTATTAAGAGAAGTATGCTAAAAAATGACAATTAATTATAAAAGTATAAGCCCATGTGCAGTGTATGGTATTTGGAAATTACAGAAGAGTATAAAAAAGAAAGAAAGAGCCATCTATTCAGTCAGTGTTAACCTTTTGTTATTTTCTTTTCAGTAATTTTTTTCTCTCTCACATGCGTACACAGAGTTGATACCAAAGCTAGACAGGAGTTTGTGGAACACTTAAATATATGTTGATTTTTATTTTGGTGATGGTGTGGAGGTGCTGATTTTGATTTTGGTGATGGTATGGGCGCTGCAGATGTGGATGGAATCTAACTGGAAAAGCAGATTTATTCCCAGTATTACTTTGCACTAGCACTCCAAACCCATAATCCGCCATTTATTATTTTTAGGATAAGAATTTTACAGTAAAAAATGACAGCCTGATTATATATATATATATATATATATATATATATATATATATATGTATATATATACACACACATACACACGTGTGTGTGTATGCTCCTTTTATGATTTAAAAATTAAGTTTATTGTTTTTGTGCATCTGTATATCTTTTATTAACAACAAAAATTCCCTTTAGAGGAAAACTATCTTGCTACTTTTCACAGAAGATTTGAGCTCCGAATCTTCATTTGTAAATAAGATTACATGTTCTTCAGTTGTTAAATCATGTCAGTTCCTATTTATAGGATATCCAAATGGTGAATGGCACTCTGGGGAATCCCAGAATTTAGTGAAAATGAAGTATCTGCCAGTTTTAACAAAACCTCTCTCTTCATGAAACATATTTGAGTCCCTGGGTATTATGTCATATGCCAGTAAAAGAGGAGAATGGAATTTTCAGATTCTCGGCATTTGTATGTAAAAGTGCTTTGTAAAGTGCTCTCCAAAAAGCCGTCAGTCCAGCACACCTGGCTGCTTGATGTTAGGACAGGATGTTAGGTGGGCAAGACCCTGGATATTTGTCAAGTAAAATGTTGAGAAAGTTTTGTATATCTGAAAAGAGGATTTTTCTCTTCCAGTGCTGTTTTCCTAGCTGAGGTCAGAGTGACTTTGTCAAATGTTGTTATGGTGCGATAGGAGCTTGGGGATTTTGGGGAAACCAGCATGAAGAAAGCTGAGGCTCTGAAACATGACACTGTTTTATATAACCTACATTGTTACTCTGTTATTTAGATATTGTAAAGTGGTTACAACATCTAAATAACAGAGTAACAATGTAGGTTACTCTGGATTTGAAAATGCCCTGGGATAGATGTTTCCTTATGGCAAGTCAGGTGTGCTAGTCAAAACAAAGCCCTTAAGCAAGTCTTAGTCTAAAACAGGCACCTGAGTTGACTGCTAGATGGAGACTGGACTACAAGGTTGTATTTGTGGTCCTTGCCTGAGATCTCATTTGAATGACTTTAGAAGTTTGTTTTTCATTCTTCCTAGGTCTGTGTTAAGATTCTCCTCCCTGTTAGCCCCCACTTCCCACCCCCATGGTCTTTCCTTATAATAGGGAATTCTTGTTTGTAATGTATTGAAACCCATTCATATTTGCTATTGAATCATGCCACTTCCTTTTACACTTTCTTCTTTTTCTCTATGTAAAAGGGTGTGCCAGAGACATCCTCTGACCTTCTCTAATTTCATAAGGAAGAGGATCAAGATTAACACCTATAGCCCAAGGCTGATTCCTATGAACAAGCTATCCTTTCCTCTTGGTGGGCCACCCAGTCATCTGGTGGGAGTCACAAAGCCCTTGACCTAGAAGGGTCATACCAACCAATTCACACAACAACAAACCTTAGTAAAAGGCTCTGGTAGTGTAGTGCCTAAGGCATATGACTGCTAACCAGAGGGCTGGTGGTTCAAACCCACCAGCCACTCCTTGGAAGGAAGGTTGGGCAATCTACTTCTGTAGTGATATCTCCTGGGAAACCCAAGGAGAAGTCCCTATGAGTCGGGTCTGACTCGAGGGCACATAACAACAACAGCAACACTGTAATAAAGGGATTTTAGGCCTTAGAGAAGGGGTGGGCAAGGGGAAGGGCCTCAAGCTTACAGATCCTGTCTATTGTGTGCCTCATACTATACTCAGTATTTGTAGTTTTCCTTTATTTTAAAAAACATATGAAGATCCTCCAAACCTCTGAGATGAGTGTCATCCTTACTTAATACTCAAGAAGTTATATGGCCCCTAAATTCAGTGGATCTCAGCTCAGGCCTTTCTTGCCTCATAGGTCATTCTTGCTCTTGCTAGTTCTTCATTGTGCCCTTGTGAGCAAAAAAGGGGTTTAGTGGGGGCTTTGGGACAAGATGAGCTATGATTGGATGTTAGGGAATACGCCTGAAACCATATTTGGTGCAGCCTTCAAAGGCGAACCTGATTTGCAGAGAGATGTGGAGGCAAGGGAGATGGGAGAACTGTGTCAGAGCCTCTTCCCCCCTAGGCCTTCTTCCGTAGGACGCTCGCCGATTTCTCAGGAGTTCTGGGATAGAAGCAGCCTGGGTCTTTCCAACCCTGCGTCTTCTAGGCTTCATTGTGGTGCCTGCCATGTGCAGTCAGAGGCCTGCTTTCCTGTGTGCAACTTTGTCCTCTGACAAAGCTAATGTTTATAAATTCCTGATTTTAAGAGTCTTTTTGTTACTGTTTTTTGTTACCAGCCTTTATGGGGACATACATTGTAGCCAGTTTTTCTGTATTGGTATGCTGTGGTTTGCTTCTTAACTCAGCTATATTGTTTCTATACAGTATAGATAATTTTGGGACTTCTAAAAATAGCTTTATTGAAATATAAATTAACATACCATACAATACACCTTTTCTGTGGACTTTAAGGAGATGTTAATTTATTGAGGCACAGATCCTCATATTTGAAGCTTTTTCTAAGCCACATTGATCACGTAAAAGAGTTGTGCTAGCTGGAACTACAAATGATGTCCCCTATAATTAAATATCGAAAGACTGACTTTGAGCCATTGTGTTTGCTTTTACAATTGCCTGTGTACATGATTGGCAAAATTCCTGTGATTACTTTACAATCTGCTTCCATAAAAATTTACCCCCTCAGAAACCTAAAGTGGGTCACTATGAGTTGGAATGGACTCAGTGGTAGTGAATTTGGTTTTTGGTTTGGCTATCTTTTATTTAGAATGACTTTGCCTAACCTTACACCTTAGCATTATTGGACATAGCCAGCCAGTACATAGATTGTTATTTTGCTTTGTTCGTTTATGAATATAATTCTCCCAGTAATACTGTTCATCATTAATATTTTCTTATAGATGTGAGAAGGGCGTCATGTCTTTGGTGAATGTCAGGAACTGTATTCGCTTCTATCAGACTGCAGAGGAGCTGAATGCCAGCACACTGATGAACTACTGTGCAGAAATTATTGCAAGTCATTGGGTGAGTGAGAGATTGAGGTGTTAGACAAAGCACTCTCACTGAAAGTCAGAAGACCTGGGCTTGGGACTTGGTTCTGTGGAAAGTTACCTCCAAGACCTAGTTTCTTCTTGTTAAAAAACTGAAGGTGAGGTAGTTGCATTAGGTGATCGGTGAGATTCTTTTCAGTTTGAAAAATCTTGTAATTCTGTGATTTCAGATTGCAGTAACAGAAGATAGTGGAGGTCAAGAAATAGAGTTGGTCCCAGGGGACATCGTCACTTCCCTCCATCTGTGGAAGCTGTAGCAGAGCCATTGGAGCAGTGTGCTGCTGGGGGGTGGCAGGCCCTGGGGTGCTCTGCAGCACCCATTCAGCGTGCTCTCCTGCTTCCTCCATTGTTGAGAGACATGATTAAACTTAGAATTGCCCCTTTTCACTTGTTTTCATCACAGAAAACAGTTTTGCGTTTGTTAAATTGCTGGTTTTTGCAAGTGCTAGTTACTTGTTTTGCAAGCACTGTATTTTGTAAACTACTTTCTGGGAATTATGTGGTGTTTAGCAACACCATGAGCAGGGTCTTAGTATTTCAGAAAAGGTGTCTGAAAGCACTGCATTTGGAAGAATTGAAACAGGAATGGTAACCGTTCTGCCAAAATAAGTAGAAATATAGAGAGAGATCTGTAGTGGTAGAGACCAATTGTGATTCACTGGAGCAAATTGTGGAAGTTCCAATTAATTTCTTTTTCTTAAAATTTGTGATTTGGGTGTAAGTTTACAGAGCAAATTAATTTTTCATATAGCAGTTCATACACATTCTGTTTCATGACTTTTGCTGCAATCCTCCTAATGCAACAACTCTTCCCACTTCATCCCTGTGGTTGCCTTTTCCCTGTGTTCTTCTTTCCTATGCATTCCTGCCCTCCGAACTATCTCCCTGTGCAAGTACTGTCCTTCTTATCTCCCATGATTGATTGTACCTACCTGGTTTAAATGTTCACCTTATATGTTTGTTTATTGTTTGGCTGAAAGCCACAGAAGTGAGTTCAGTTCCAGGCCTGAAAGGTGACTAGGGACCATGATCTCAAGGTTTCACCAGGCTCACCTATGCTGATCCCCTTCTGAGTGGTTGACAGTGGTAGCCGGGCACCATCTATTTCTTCTAGTCTCAGGGTCATTTAGGCTGAGATTTGCGTTGTCCACTTGGGCAGTTCCAGTTACTTTTGAATTGCCTGTTAGTGGAGTAGGGGAGGAAGGACTCTGTTCTCATGTGGAGGACTCCCCTCGTGGCTCAGTTCTAGTGGCTGTCACTGAGTGTCACTTGTGTTGAACCATCTCGTTGAGAGACATAGTGGTGCTGTACTGAAGAGTGCAGGCTCTGGAGGTGGACCTCTTGGCTCTAGATCCCAACTTAGCCATTTACTCACTGTGAGCTTAGGGAATTCACCTCCTGTCTTTTATTTTCTGCTTTCTTCGTTTGTAAAATGGGGATGATAATATTGCCTACCTCGTAGGGTATTTGTGGGAATAAAATGAATTGGGAAGTGTAAAGCCCTTAAAGTAGGGCCTAACACATTCTCAGGGGTTAATAGATGTCCATTGTTGTGGTTATTGTTAATAGGTTGACTCTGACTTTTCTCTCTGGGTTTTATTATTATTTTTTCCCCAATCCTTAGGATGACTTACGGAAGGAGGACTTCAGCAGCATGAGTGCTCAGTTGTTATACAAAATGATTAAATCCAAGACTGACTATCCATTACATAAAGCTATCAAAGTGGAGAGAGATGATGTTGTCTTCCTCTATCTAATTGAAATGGATTCACAGGTACTGTAAAATTTTTCACACCTTTCCCAAAAACTGTCCTTTGTTTTGTTTTCTCTATATGCTTCTCACTTCCTTCTGACTCTCACTGACATATAGGGTTTAGGATATACAACATATATTGAATATACGTATTGCTGCTAATAGTCTGTTCAAGGCAATCTAAGCTTTTTCTGTCATGTTTCTCAAAATTCTTCCAGCCTCCCGTTGCCAAATTCCAAAGCCACTTCCACATTTTTGGGTATTTGTTGTAGTAGTACCCCAACCTCCAGGTACCAAAATCTACATTAATTTTCTATTGGTGTGCAACAAATTACCACAAACTTAGCAGTTTAAAATAACACAAGTGTATCATCTGTTTTGTGGTTCAGAAGTCCAGTGTGGGTCTCACTGGGCAAAAAGCAAGGTGTCAGCCAGCTGTTTTTCTTTTTGGAGGCTCTAAGGGAGAATCTGTTTCCTGCTTTTTTGAGTTGTTGGCCAAATTCCATTCCTTGTGGTTACAGGGCCAAAGCTATAAGCCGAGGGCCATTCCTGGTTGGTTTTTAGAGGCTACAAGGAAGGTTGGGCAATCCTACTTCCGTAGTGATACTGCCTCGGAAACCCAAGGAGGGGTCACTATGAGTTGGGGCTGACTCAACGGCAAACAACAACAACAACAACAACAACCACCCCATTTTTGGCTTGTGTCCCTTTCCTCTGTCTTTAGAGACAGCACTGGCAGTCAAGACCTTCTCATGTCACATCTTATGTCCTGTCTGTCTCCCTCTTTGACTTTTAAGGACCCATGTTATTAGATTGGGTCTACCTGGTAATCCAAAATAATCTCCCCTCTACCCCTCATCATAAGGGCCATGACCTTAATCACATTTGCTGAGTCACCTTTGCCATGTAAGCTAACATATTCACAGGTTCTGGAAATTAGAACATGGACATCTTTGGGGGGGGGGCTGTTATCCTGCCTACGATACTGTCTCAGAAGAAAAGAAGTTGTTCTTAACAGATGGATATGTCCAGTGTGTGGGAGAGACAATAAACTCTTAAGGGGAATTAGGTGTAGATAACATGATTCTTCGTGAAAACGTTAGCTGTTTACCATAATGCTCTCTGAACCTCTGCCCTGGCACTTGTGCTCCTGTAGCACTCTGTCTTCATGTTCCCCTGGGTCCTACATTGTCTTCTGTGTTTGTTTATGTCTGTTTTGTGAGCCACCTTAATTCTGTGCTCCCTGAAGGTCATGTACCCTGAGGAGGCCTGGTAGAAGTTTGTGCATTCAGTTGACTTTGTGGAGTAAGCTGTATTAGAGCACTACAATTTGACATTTATAAAATAAATTATATTTAAGGTTCAGAGTGGGATAGATAAAAACTGGTTGTGTTCTGTATTCTTTATTGGCTGGATGCTAATTTACAAACTTACCTGTGCAGCTCCCTGGCAAGTTAAATGAAGTGGATCATTGTGGAGATCTTGCCTTAGATCTAGCCCTTTCTCGACGACTAGAGAGCATAGCCACCACTCTGGTTAGTCACAAAGCGGATGTGGACATGGTGGACAAGAATGGATGGAGCTTGTTACATAAAGGAATCCAAAGAGGTAGGAAGTGTGTTTTACATTTTTCTCTGAGGGAAACTTTACTGTTATCCAAGTAATTTTTGAAGGCTTCTGACCCTGTTCCAGAAATGGTCAAAGGCTACCTTTTACTTGTAAGAAATTGATGTGCTTGCTTCTTCATTGTATCAGTGTCTCCAGCAATAATGCTGGAAGACTTGTATCAGCTTCTGTAAGAGCAGGGAAGTATCAGAACCACAATGCTTAAACATACTCTTGGATTCAGGGATCTCACTTTTGCAGTCTGGACTTCTCTTCTGTCATGGTAAAGTGTGATAAAGGGTCATTTTGTCCTGGGAGAGTTCTTTGAAATTCCAACTGTATTTTGAATACATTAGCATTAGTAGTGGGAAGAATATGGAAGTGATAGAAATGAGATCAGAACATTTTAATCTTAAAGAATTAACTCTTCAGGTGAAAAAAATATTACTTTAGTTTTGTTTTCCCTATGGCTTGATTAATTTTTAAGTCCCAGCTGAATCCTGCCTGACTCTGCTTTGCAGTGTTCATTTTTGACAGAGTGAGAATACCTAGAGAGGTAGAGTTCCAACATGGAGTGAAAGCTGTCACAACTGTCAAAGCCTTGATTTTATAGAGGGATAGTTCGCTGGATTGAAGTACTTGCCAATGGCTACTTTTTTTGTTGTTTATGTGTGTTAGATCGAAAGCAGAATATTCCAGTTTCCTCACACTTTAATCACTTGTATTTTATCCTTCTGATCATACATTATTATACTGTCATTGTCTCCACCACAGTTTTACCATTCACAATTAACTCCCAGTTGGTGTAATGTAGTTACTTTAAGATGTGGTCCTGTTGTAGCTGTGGCTTCACCCATTTGGGACAAAGGTTTTAATATTCTTGCAAACCATGTGTTGGAGTGTGAGTTCTCACTGGCTGGTGGAGAGGAAAATTTTGCTCATCATTTGGAAGGAAATCCTTAGAGTGTGGCAGTGTCAAGAACAGATGCATTTTTCCCAAGCACCACTCTGCGCTGTGCAGTGCCGTCGGGCACTTAGCACTGGGTGTGTGTTCAGTGGGGAAAGTTTCCACACATAGGGAATTACTCTTTCCCACGGTTTAGTGGCTGCAGTGTTTATTTTGGAAACAAATAACACTTGTTATTGAAAAAACAGTCTCAGAATTATGTTTCTTTCCTCTTGGGAGTTAAATTCTAATGTTCAATGAAAAAACATCTTTGATGAGTTGTTAAATATTTTGGTGATTGCTTAGTTACAAGAATGGCCAAGGATTGGTGTTGCATTTTTGATGCTTATTTTCAGACGATTTCATCTCCCACTCAGAATTTATCAGTTGCCTGCTAACATGTGGATTATGGTGTGAGTTTGTATTAAGCTTGATTGTTGCTAATTTTGGAGAGGGCAACATGGTGTGGTGGACAGAGCACTGGCATTGGACCTTGGAGATACCAAGCTTTGAATCCTGGCTCATCCATTTACTTGGTGACCTTGGACAAATCTCTTAACCACTCCAAGTCAATCTCATCATTTCTACTTTACTGGGTTGTTGGGAGAATGAGAGTGTCAGTGCACCTAGTCATCCTGGTGTCTTGCTCAGATGAATCTTACCTTGCCCCTATGTTGGAGTGCCTTAATCAGTTCAGTGTAGGAATGTTTTCAACTTTCCTCCTTCAGCTTGAGATTTCAGTCTGTTGACCTGGCCAAATGACTAAGGTGAATAATGAACTTAAATTTAACTGTTAACCTTACTTTTCAGTTCATTATATTATGAACAAAGGTCTTTAACAGATGAAGTTTACTTCACCTGATATGCATGTGAACCATTACTTTCATTGCTCTAAGAACATATTATTTTGGAGAAATCTAAGCTTTGGACCTTTGCATATGAAGTTGGTAAAGATTGTAACCTTTTCCTAAAAACAATTGGGGTAGAAAAATAAAAATATTTCAGGAGAAGGGGCTGATTAGATAAGTCTAAGTTACCTAAAGTCATAATTGGTTGGGGTTTGAGTCAGTTTTTAAAGTGGAATCCAAAAGCCCTGACAGTCAATCCATTTTCTTTCTAAACATTTCCCCAGTGTCTAATTTACATAAGACACTGGTCGATACAAAAATAAATCAGTCATAGGCCAATCAGTATCTGAAGACCGCGATTGCCTTGCCACTTCAGTGCCAGGGCTCATGTTCTCCAGGAAGTTAGTCCTTTGGAAGAAAACACAGAACAGATGGGGGAGTGCAGAAAACCAGATGACTTGGATATGTGCATGTCCACTGAGGACCAGAGAAACCCATATAGTCAGAGGAAGATAATTACAGAATTACAAATAACAGACTTGAGAGCTTTGTCACTCCTGTAGATCCTAAGCCCCATTCTAGATGTTCATACCGGGGAAGTATAGCTGAAGAAGATGAAATGATACTGCAGGATATAAAAGAAAATGGCTCATAAATGGCTTTGGAGGAAAGAGAAAAAAATCATTATCCTGCATTTCTGATTCAAAGGATCTACATCTGTAAACCTAACAGAATTAGAAGCAGATTTTGTCCTGACACCCTCAACAAATTTAAGAAGTATAGTTGAGAGACCAGAAGAACTAGATGGTGCCTGGCTACCACTTCAACCAGTTGGAGGGGGATCTATGTAGGAGATCCTGGATAGAGAGGGAGAACAAAGTGGAACAAAACTCAAAATCATTTGGAAAAAAAAAGAGGGGGTACCAGGTTTGTTGGTCCGATAGAGGCTGGTGGAACCACTGAGACTATGGCCCTTAGCTGCCCTTTAGGTCTGGAATTGAATCCACACCTGTGGCTTCCAGCCAAACAAAAGACAGGCATGTGAGTTGAACATTTACCTGAGATAGATAGACTCCTTGGAGAGAACAATCATGGGAGAAAGAAGGGCTGTTTATGCACAGGGAGACAGCTCAGGGGGCAGGAGTACATGGAGGGATACAAGGAAGAGGTAACTATGGGGAGGAAGTGGGAGGGCAGCTGTTGCATTGTGGTAAATTGTGGTCAATGTCATGAGACAAAGTGTATGTGAACTGCTGTATGGAAAGTGAATTTGCTCTGTAAATTTTCATCCAAATCACAATAAAAAAACAAAAAAGAAGTATAGCTGACAATTTTGTGACCATCCAAAGCAAACTTTGGAAGGTTGGCTGTGCATTTTGGGGATCTTCCAGCTGAAAAAAAAATGTTGAGTTGCAAGAAAGTTATCCTATGGACTTTGATGAAATGGAGATTGAATCTGCAAAAATTACCTCTGAGTTCCAGACAAGCTCTTGGGATAACTTATGTACATGTCCTGGCACATCCACCAAAAGTAAACATGCAGACTGTCAAGTGGCAGATGAGTTTGATCTGGAAGCTTGATTAACCTAACGCTTGAAAGACTTCTTGACTATGAGCTAACTTGTGCCACCTGGAGGCCACTGAGAGAAATAATTGCTTCCACTCAGCTGGGTGGCCTGTCCTCAAAAGCAGGTTTCTGTGATAGTAGTTCATTGTTTAATGATGAATTCTTAATTCTTGCCTTATTCTAAGAAACATTATGAGCATAGTGAGTGGTTTTGCATGCTTTAAATTATAAATGGGACTAATTTGCAACATTTCATTCTGTTGTATGTAAGTCAGACTTGACAGCTACCAGCAACAACAAACCCAAGAAAGATTGACCTTTAAACAATCTTGCAAACTTAACTGTTTAATCCCTGTTATCCTCCAAGTTAACCTGACAAGTATATTTTAACTGGTTTTCCATAAGTATGTTTAACATTAAATTATCACTTGTCATATTGTTTGGTTCTGAATTTAACAATGTATTCTTCAGACCAATCAAGAATCAGCTTTTCTTTAATGGTATTGGATAGAGTATATTCATAATTGTATACCTTTATGTAAAATTAATTGTTGGCCTTTTGTCAAGATGTCAAGGTAGTTTGTTTTTTCCTCTTTCTCTCTCCTCATACAGAGCACTAAATAGAGTTGGTAAATTAAGCTTTTAAAAAATTAGTGGATTTTATATAAATTATTCAATCTTAATTTGGTATTTGTAAATAGTCCTAGGGAGGTTTTCTACCCATAATACTCTAAGAGTTAAGGCAATAGGAAGGTTTTACAAAGCACACTTTTTTTTTTAAATAACTAGTTCATGTACTCTGAAAGTTTCGTAAATAGTAATGTGTACAGATTTTCTGTTCAAATATTCAATTGTAAACTCCTTGTTAAGACTGTTAGGCTTGTAGGTGATGAGGCTGCAAAAAGAAAAAAGAATCTTTATAATAATAACAATAATAATAAAATAATAATAAATAAATGGTTTTACTTTGCAGCTTAAACTCTATAAACAGGAGCCTGTATGTCCAATGGAGAGCAGACTGTGAGGAAGTGTTGCTTAGGTATAGATTGTGGTCAGGAAATGGGAGAGGGAGAGAAATTGTGCTGGGGGGGGGGGGGATGTTGGAAACACTTTCTGAGAGGCGATGGCCAGAGGTGGCTTTTGAAGGGCAGACTGTATTCTCACACTGTGAAGTGATGTTGAAATGAGGAAGTAGGACAGATGATAATAGGTAATCAGAAGTTGAAAAGAAGCCTTTTAAATTAGAGTGTGTAAGTCCATGATCTTCATGATGAGTTTCTGCTTATAGGGGTCCCTTCATACATGTCCACTTGTCCTTCCTCTTTGTCTGCAGTTACGGACTGGTGCCTTTTTGAGGAAGCATTGTCCAGAATAGCTTGCCCTGGGGGTTGTCATCTGTGTCAATTTCTTCAATTGTTTCTTTTCAAGGAGATCTCTTTGCTGCCACTTTCCTCATTAAGAACGGGGCTCTTGTCAATGCTGCCACGTTGGGTGCCCAGGAGACACCATTGCATCTTGTGGCATTGTACAGTTCAAAGAAGCACCCAGCACGTGTGATGTCTGAAATGGCGCAGATTGCAGAGGCCCTCCTGCAAGCTGGTGCTAACCCCAACATGCAGGACAGCAAGGGCAGGTAAGTTGGGGAACAGACAGACTGTGCACTTAGCACTGTCCCTAAAAGGTCACTTTGTGGTAGCCCATAATCGGCAGATAGGCACTTCTGTGTTCAGCGTTATGGAGCTCTGGTGATATAGTGCGTAAGGCATCTGACCACTAACCAGAAGGTTGGTGGTTCAAACCCACCAGCAGCTCCATAGAAGGAAGATGGGGCAATCTACTTCTTTAAAGATATCTTGCCTCAAAACCCAATGGAGGTTGTTATGAGTCGGAATCAACTTGATGACAATGAGATGAGTTGTTCAGCGTTATTCAATCAGATTTTTATTAAAGTCATAAACATTGATTTGCTGTGCAAATGAGAGGCACCGTTAAGGCTAGAAGCATTTTGAGAAAACATTTCCATCCTGGGTAATTGAGGTCTTTGAATTTCTAAGTAATTTCTAGCATTTTCAGGTTAAAAGGAACCAGAGTGGTTATCTAGTCCAGCTCTTCCAAGGGAGAAATCATCTTCTAGCATCTTTGTGAGGTTGCTTGGATACTTTGAAAGAAGAGGAGCATATTATCTCCAGGCAATCTGTTTCAGTTTTATAAGGTCTAATTGTTAGAAAATTCTCTATCTTAAACCCAGTGCTACCTTCTTGTAAATACTCCCACCTCAAGCAACTCTTTTTTTTTAATGTGGTACAAATATGTATAATAAAATATTTGCCATTTATGTGTATAATTCACTGACATTAATTGGGGTCATCACGTTATGCAGTCCTCACCACTGTCTGTTTATGATTTTTTCCGTCACCCTTGACAGCAGCTCAGTGCGCCCTTGGCAGTGGCTCCCCTTTTATTCTTCCCTCTCACCCTGGTAACCATGAGTAAACTTTGTTTTCGATATCTTTGCAGATTCTAGCCTTTTTATGTAAGTGGGAGTTTGCAATACTTTTCCTTTTGTGACTAACTTATTTCACTTTAGCATAGTGTTTTCAGTGTTTATCCATGTTGTAGCATATATCCTGAATTCATTTCTTTTTATCCCTGAATAATATACCACTGTATTTATGTACCACCTTTTGACTGTAGTGACTAGGCTGCAATAAACATCGTTGTACAGGTTTCTGTTTGTGTCCTGCTTTCTCTTTTGTGTATATACCTAGGAGTGGAATTTCTGGGTTATGTGGTAATTTTTTGTTTAACCTTTTGAGGAGCTGCCAAACTGTATTCCACAGTGGTTGTACCATTTTATGATTCAGGCAACTCTGTCTGCACAGATTGCCATCTTCCAAAGCATAGCCCCTCACTTATTTGACAGTAGTTATCTTGTTCCTTTTGCCCCTTCCCAGAATATTTAATGGAGGATTCCTTGTGGTTTAGATCTGATAAAAGTTTCTTTATCTTTGGGACAGCAGTGTGGGAGGCTTTGAAGGGGGAGTTAAGCCACCTGAATCACCAACAAGGGACCCACTTTTCATCATAGCAGTCATTTTATTATTTTTTTTAGTACACTGCATTACATTGCAATGGAAAATATTTACTTTGGCTTTAACAAACAAATGTATTTTCTCACAGCACAGGAATCTAGAAATCTGAAATCGGTGCTGGCTCTAGGGGGATGCTTTCTCTTTCTTCAGCTCTGGAGGAAGCTCCTTGTCTCTCTCTCTCTCTTTTTTTTTTTGTTTAATTGTGGTTTGGGTGAAAGTTTACAGAGCAAATTATTTTTCCATTCAACAATTGCCAAAGGGGCAAGGAGGTAGCATCTTCTGACCTCTTCTAACTGCACAAGAGGAAGACAGAATCACCATCAATAGCCCAAGGTCTATTCCTGTGAGGCCAGACATGCTGCCTCCCTCCAGCCCTTTCATCAACCCTGACACCAACTGTTCCTCCCGCAGCACCCACCACCTTTCTGCTGGGTTCGATAATTCGCTGCAGTGGCCACACAGAACTCACAGATTATGGGGTTTATTAGGGAAGAAACAGTTTATTAGGGAAGAAACAGCTCAAGTTCAGAAATGCACTCAGTCTCTTGCATCCCGCTGTCTCTCAGCTGACAGCCTCTCTCAGTCTCTCTCAGCAGCGTGTGTCTCTCAGAAGCATGTCTTTCCCAGCCAGCAGTCAGAGAGACTCCTTCTGCCTCTAGGAGGGCTCCTTTTGAGCCTGGCAGAGTGGCCAAACTAAACAATCATAATATCGGAATTCTGAACACTTGAGAGAGAGTGAACTTCCCAGAATATTGCTTTGTGCCACTCTCAACAGAAATAGCCCAGGTAGATAACTTTAACAATCAGGAGCTCCTCAGACGCTCACGGCAAATTCCGCCAAGGAGTTTACAAAGACTTATAGCTAGAAAAGCCATACCAGGTAATTTACTACACCACAACAGTTTATATACGTTTTGTTTCACAGCATTAGTTGTGTGTCCTTCAGTGTAATAGCTCTCTTCCTGCTTCCTCCCTGGCCCTCCCTTTTCCATTTGTCCTTCTTTCCTGCCTCTCCTGCTTCTGAACAGTTCACTATTTTATATCTTTTAAATTCTCAAAGAATAAGAAAAGATTTTTGTGAAATTTGGTTGTCAGAATAGGATAATGGGTTTGTGGGATGAATAAAGTACTTAAATAAGAGATATCTCCATGAACTCTTAAAATCAT